AGTGGTTTAGAGAGTCAGCTTGCGGGCTCTCTATCAAGGGCACATGTACCTTGGTTGCAGGCTCACTCTTTGTCTCTCCTCTCTTCCTTCCACTCCTTCCCCCACCCCCCCCCAAATCAATGGAAACAATATCCTCAGTTGAGGATTAACGAGAGCGAGAGCGAGAGAGAGAGAGAGAGAGAGAGAGAGAGAGAGAGAGAATAGAGCCATCAATGAAGTTTCTTTTTTGAAAAAATTTTACTGATTTTTTTTACAGAGAGGAAGGGAGAGGGGTGGAGAGTTAGAAACATAGATCAGCTGCCTCCTGCACACCTCCTACTGGGGATGTGCCCGCAACCAAGGTACATGCCCTTGAGCGGAATCGAACCTGGGACCCTTCAGTCTGCAGGCCAACGCTCCATCCACTGAGCCAAACCAGTTTGAAGCTTCTTTTTCTCAAACATGCGAGAGTTCCTCTCTCTAAATCTTTTGACCCTTCAATTACCAAAATTGTATTTTAACCACATTAGAAACTCTTTAAAACAGAGGTGGTTAAGCGCTCTTAAATGACATCAAGCAAAATTACAACATGCGATTGACATAGTCATTATTATGACCACCCATTATTATGCAATCGTTGCAAAACTTATGTGTCTGCTTTAATTTTTTCCCATCCACTATCAGTCTGCCATAACCAGCTCACCTCGAACAAGGCACACTTCTCAAATAACCAAAGTTATCAATATGCAAATATTAAAATTCAAATAAGCATTTTAGGAAAACCAAATATTTTTATTTCTCTAAACAAGCTCACTACTTTAAATTTAATTCTCCTGTTAAGAAGTGTCCCTCTCTTCCCCACCCCCGTTAACGTTCAGAAATATTTTCTCAGGTTAAGAGAAGAATCCTGGACTCACACTCTATGGATAAGGCTCCTCCTGAGTACACAAAAAAAGAAAGATTACCTAGAATTATTAAACGACCTCTAATTAATAAAGAATCCTAAGTGCTAGGATCACAAGATATTGTTCAAGTAAAATGCCAAGTGTCAGGAATGCAGATCTGCTGCAACAATGGTATGCTCCACCGAAAAACAGTGCCGCACGAAGGACAAACCTCTCCACATTTCTACCCTCACAAGCGCCAGCTAAATAAACAAACACCACGACGTGGACTCGCAGTTCCTCGGTCGCCTGGCCCCCACGGCCAGCCTTTGGCACCATAACAGACAGGAACTAATGTTTCACCCTGCAAAACCCGGGTCCCGAAGGGCTTGAGCTCCGACAACACAAGCCCGAAAGGCGGCTTCCCCAGGGTCTCCCGACCTGCCTTCCGCCTCCCCGGCCGCGAGGCGAGCAAGCAGCCAGGCCCTCCGGGAAGAGTCAGTGGCAGAACCGCGGTCTTTCCGCCCAGGACATTACATCTACCATAACACCTACGCACCCTTCGACTTTAATTTTTTAAAAAATATATTTTTATTGATTTTAGAGAGGAAGGAAGAGGGAGAGATAAAAACATCCACGAGGAGAGAGAATCACGGATTGGCTGCCTCCTGCAAGTCCCCCACTGGGGATCGAGCCCACAACCCCGGCATGTGCCCTTGACCGGAATCGAACCTGGGACCCTTCAGTTCGCAGGCCGACACTTCACCCATTGAGCCAAACCGGCTAGGGCGCACCCTTCGATTTTATAGCCAACTGGCCGAGTTGTGTTCGGAAGGAACCCCAGTCGCCGAGGCCCCAACCCGGTCGTTTCTCCGACACCTGACTTCGACACCTAAAAAGAATGGGATGCCACTCAGCCCAGCACACCCCACCCGAAACCTTACCTCTGCTAAAGCAAAAGGCCCTTTGCCGAGCAATGAAGCCAACCCACCGTCTTAACTCTCCAGCCTCTGCGACAAAAACCTTGCAAAATGGCGGCAGCGCCGTCTTCCTAAAATCCCCAGGCGGCCTCCAGCTCCACCTCCGCCACGCAATCGCGCCTGCGTGACAAAGCCTCGCGCGCTCCCGCCCCGCCCTGAAAGGGGCGGGGATATATGTGACGTCATGGGCGGGCCGGGGCCTTCACACTGCGGCTGCGCGGGCCACGTCCTTCCCGCCTGAGCCCAGGTGAGACCCAGGCGACGCCTCAATATGTTTTTGTTTTGGGAGATCCCGGCTGCAACTTGGGAAGAAAAGTCTGTTCCCTGCCCTAAGCCTGTGGCTTGCGTTTCCTCCTTTTGCGGGGAGGTTATCCTGAGTGCGGCACCCCTCGGCTGAGCCAGCCATGGCCCCGTTTCCTGCCCCCCCTCTCCAGTGGGCCAGCGCCAGTGCACTTTGGCCGCTGGCCCTCAGCCTAGCCCAGGACCTCAACCCCAGACGGAGTCCACAAACCTGCCCTGTGGTGGTGCTGGGGCCAGTTCAGTGAACGTGATGCTTGTCCAGCTCTTTTGGAGCTTCCAGTCTGAAAATGGATTGGGAGAAATCAAGAGGGTGTCCCAGAAAACGAGCTCAGGAGTGCTCATCTGTTTAAAGGCCTGTGTTCTTTATCAGAATAACACAACAAAAAATGACGTTTCCGGACAGATATGGAAGCTGGATGTTTGCCTAACAAAGTTCTTCCCATTGTTCCTGTGGGTCGATTTTATTTAACCAAGGCAGAGTGATGTCTGAGAGCTAGTGAGCATCCATTAAAGGGATTTACCTGGAATGTATTTTGCAGTTTTAAAAATCCACAGACATTTCCTATTGTGAGTGTGTAGTGTCAAATGTAAGAAACATACAAAACTGTAGAGAATTTTTGTGAGTTTATTTGAGACAAACTGACCACAATTGTCAGGAAGCAAAATCTCAACAGATTGAGAGAGTGCTCTGAGAAATGGCAGTTTTGCACCTTATTTTATGCATTATAATCAAAAGAGGAGGTGTAAGTGGGTTACCTGAAATCCATTGGTGGTAGATTAGGGAGTAGGGAAAAAAAGGAAAGGTGAGGGGAGGGGAGGATTACTGGGATTGGATAAAAAGTGAAATGGTAGACGCATACTGTACTTCTTTTATACAGGTGGGTACAGGATAGTTAACAGTCGACAATGAACCCAATTAACAATGAGGGGATTTGTGGTCTCCTCCCTGGTCTGATGGTTGTGCCCAAAGGGGTCTGAAAAAAGTGATGTTATTTATAACATACCTTTGACATTCCAAAGGTATGTTATTAAAAAAAATAACTAGAATTCAATTGAACTTTTACTTTATAGAAAATGCAAGCCAGAAGAACAAGTTCATTGACTATACAATTGTAATGTGATATTCCAGAATGTTGAAAATGATTTAGGAAAATAAGTATTTTATCAACAAATAAAAAACAAAAATAAAACACAAATGGGAAACTGTTGATGATTTAATGAAACCTAAAGAGAGATATGAAATAAAGAGTTCTGGTTTTATCGAGAGACATGCTAAAATGCTTATTCATTTGGGGTCTTGGAATTGAGTGCTTTGAATAAGTCAAATGGGGTATATATTAATAATTGATGAGGTTAGGTAAGAAATACGTGAGGAATCACTACTCTCTTCCTTTGTATCTGGAAATTTCCATGGTTAAAAATAACCATGGAAACCAACAAAACCAAGATTGTGGGCTCTGAAGTCTCTTCTTATCAAATAACTTCTCTTCTTTTTTAGAGGTAATGATCTTCAGCAAATTACCTGGATACTCTTTGTCATAGTTTGGTTCACCTTTGAGAGGAATATTGTATTAATTCCTGCCTCTGGTGTTGTTGTCTGAAAGAAATGTACTATGCAAATAAAACTTTTTCAATATTATTGAGCACTTGATAAGTCTCAGTATTTATAACTAATCACTATGCTATTATTTTTTTAAATATATTTTATTGATTTTCTACAGAGAGGAAGGGAGAGGGATAGAGAGTCAGAAACATCGATGAGAGAGAAACATCAATCAGCTGCCTCCTGCACACTCCCCACTGGGGATGTGCCCGCAACCAAGGTACAAGCCCTTGACCGGAATCAAACCCAGGACCCTTGAGTCCGCAGGCTGACGCTCTATCCACTGAGCCAAACCAGTTAGGGCTATGTTATTATTTTAATAATTTATTTCACCAGGCTAACTTATAAATTGAAATTGATAGTTTGGTTATCTCTAATTATTTTACTTCACATCTGGCTTTTGACTTTTTTCCCTGAAATGAGAGTTCAAGCTCTAACAACTTTCTGAATAGCTGAATGGACGGTAAATTTTCTGAAAGGTTACTAGAGAGTAGATTTTGGGAGTTCTCACTGAACACACAAAAAATTGCAACGATGCGAGGTGATGGATATGTAACCCTCGCTATACCTGCGTTTTTCATTTGTGAAGTGTAACGAAATGGGGATAAGGGTTTTGAGAGGATTAAGTGCTTAGAACAGCACCTGGCCCATACTTAACACTGTTAGTAATTGCATGTCTACTTGTCTTTAGGCTGACGATACATGTTATTGATTTTAGAGAGAAAGGGAGAGGGAGAGAGAGAGAGAGAGAGAGAGAGAGAAACATCAATGATGAGAGACAATCATTGACCATCTGCATCCTGAACGTCCCCCACTGGGCATCGAGCCTGCAACCCGGGCATGTGCCTTGACCACGGCATCGAATCGTGGCTTCCGGAGCCACAGCGGCCGGGCTGTCTACTTGTCTTATGTGCATATTTCATATCTGCTCCAGGCAACCAGGAAGCTTCTGCAGAGTTAAGACTGTTGCCCACTTTTCCCATTACAATTTGTGCCTCACGGCCCAGGCTCCGCCCCCAGCCCGGTGGGCGGGGCGAGGTGCCGCCAGTTCCT